TATATAGATTAGGTGTAGCGGAGTAGAATTCGGGCAAAATCCAGTTCAGATATACTTCCAGCTCCCTGATATAGACATATTATGAAAAAAAGATAAATTTAAGAAATTAGGAAATAAAAGTATAGCTGGGGGTGTTATGTAATCGGAGTTAGTAAATACAGGGTTTCCCAATAAACTTTGGAATTTAAGGAGGGCGTTTAAATTCTCTTCCACGAAGGATGAGATTGCTATGCATGTCTTGAATACATGTAATCTTTAATGTATAAACAGACTTATTTGAGCAGAAATAAATAACAGCTGTGGGATACTGTGATTTAAAGAAAAAGTATCAAATGAATTCTAAATGGTCATCTCAGTCTCATCCTTGTGGGACATTAGTGACCCTGTAATAACGTAAATTCCGATCTCTGAATATTTGTACATCAAATTTGAAAGCATAAAATATCATAAAAATTTTAAATTCAAAACTCTGCAGAGCTCTGGTCCAATTTCTGAACATTTTAACATCAAATTTGAAGGCATAAAAATATCATAATTTTTAAATTCCGATCTCTGCAGAGCTCTGCTCCAAGTTCTACATATTTGAACATCAAATTTGAAGGCATAAACAATAAACATATCCGACCTAGTTTAAGAAATCCAAAGACAATTATTTTTTGTGTTCATAAACCACGCCTAGATCTCAGACAATATAAATTTCTTGAATAAATTCACATGATTTTTGGGACACCTTGTAAGAAAAGGAAATGTTTAATAAATTATTATCTGTCTCAAAATATATTCAATTCGTTTAATTGTATATGTTTTGATATTTAATATCTTTCATAAATGAATTGTTAAAATATTTGGGCAATGTTTATATTATGATTTTATCTTGCTCAGGTTTCACCGTTACTTCTATATATAAATTTGGCTTGTTTGTCTGTCTGTTTGTTTGTCTGTTTGTTTGTTTGTATCCAATAAACGTCAAAACGGCTGAACCGATCGGGCCCAAATTTTTTGTGGGACATCTAGGGAGCCCAGGGAAGGTTTATGAATCATCAAAATTTCAAATATTTGTCTCTATCAAAATTCGATCGTCATTAAATTTTTTAAAATTTTGAAAATCCGCGAAATTTTTTGTAAAAATCCGCGAATTATTTTTGTTTAGTTTTACGATGTACACAAAGAGAACATGTTTACAATTAATTTAGAAGATGGGCGCGAAGCGCCCTCTAAGGCTAGAAAGAAGGGCGCGAAGCGCCTTGAATTTCTAGT